TAGATCTGTATTTTAAGCCAGGGTTTCTCGACGTTGGAGACTTTGAGCGGTGTGGACACCAGCTCCCAGAATTCCCCTCTGCCTGGCTAGGGAATTCTGGGAGTTGAAGTCTACACAGCTCCAAGTCGACAAGATCGAGAAACATTGCTTTAACCCAGCGGTTCTCAACCTGTGAGTCGCGACCCCATTTGGGGTCGAACGACCATTTTACGGGGATCGCCAAACAACACAGTCCGCCATTTCCCCCCCCCCCTTTTCCTTAGCTGTGCTCCTCCCTTTTATTCTATTGGCTTTTGAAAGCCAGTAGAATAGACTCTCTTGAATAGAGTCTAATTCTATTGGCTTTCCAAAGCCAATAGGAATGGTCCAGGTTGTCTCTGCCCTGCTGAGCCCGCCAAAAGTCCCAGTCTGCAAACGGTGCTGCAAGTTGTCTGCAGCAAAGGCGAGCTGTCTGGAAGTTTCCACCCCTCCCTGCTGAGCAACTACTAAAAATGTAAGGAAAAGAGGGCCAGGGGTGGGAGGTGGGAGGCCGGCGGGCGCAGGGAGGGTTGCTGGCGCGTGTGGGGCCCGGCGGGTGCCTTACCTCCCTTGGGCTGGGCCAGCTGGTTGCCCAGCTGGTGGTCACCCTGTGCCGTCGCTGCCCCTTGCCACCTACGCCTTGGCCGGCGCAGGGGGCGGCACCACGCATGTGCGGTGCTCCCGGGCAGGGAAAGTCCTCGACTTACAACCGGTTGGGTAGTCCTCGACTTACGACCAGTTGAGTGTCGCGACATTAAAAAGGTTGAGAACCACTGCTTTAACCAATACACTCCAGTGGTTATCAAAGCAGCAGTAACCAGAAAAAAAAAAAGGAAAGAGCCGAGAATATGGGAAATTCTTGAAGCATTTCATCTTTTAAAACCCCAACTGATGTTTGAAAACAGGCGGCAAAAATCTAGTTAGGATGCGAAGTGGGTTTTGCCCCAGAGATTGCCTCATTCTTCCTGTCTCTCTTCTATTCCTGAGGTGATACGGTACACAAAGCGAAAATAAATTGGTTTTAGACTTTAACAACTGCGCTGAGGAATTCTGGGAGTTGAAATCCACAAGTCTTAAAGAGGCCATGTTTGAAGACCCCTGGCTTATATGGTCCACGCTGGCTGAGGAATTCTGGGAGTTGAAGTTCACAAGTCTTAAAGCGGCCATGTTTGAAGACCCCTGACTTATATGGTCCATGCTGGCTGAGGAATTCTGGGAGTTGAAGTCCACAAGTCTTAACGTGGCCATGTTTGAAGACCCTGGCTTATATGGTCCATGCTGGCTG